AACCCGGCAACTGATAAAGTCCGCGTGGAGTCCGCGTTAGAATGACGTCAACGAACGACGAAATTCTAATCCCACTTGAACTCATACACAGCAACTGTGATGCAGTGAGAAAGGCTCGAGAAGTTCATTTAATACACAAAGGGAACACATTATTTCCTCTAGGAATAAATAGACGTGACGAAGCTCACTGATATATGATACCACCTAGTCTCATATACCAATAACAATCCATTGTTTTTATAGGCACTTTTTCAAATTCTTATTTGTAACGAACTACATTTTTCTTTTAGCCCCTGAAGGGGGCCAATATTTCAAACCGAAATATTGGGCAATTTGTTTAAATATCTATATTTTTGTTTTATTCTTTTGTTTACTTCTTCATCGCCTTTCCGTAAGGATCAGTTTGCCGTTTCATATTTTTCTACATTTTAAATTACGCAGTGTGAAACTACATGTATTAATGATTATTGAGCTTGGGTCACCTGTGGTCTTCCGCGCGAAACGTCCCCAGCGGCGAAGACCGAGGAGAAAGGGCTGTTTTCGCAGGCTAAGGAGGAATTTGATCGCGTGTTTAGGGAACGTGTAGGGAGGCTAAGTCGGGTTTGCAAATTATAAAGTGCTTTTCCCAAAGACATCGGTTGCATTTATTAAAGGCGGGGTTATATGGAGCAGCTTGCTTTAAGATCTTCCAAGTGATTTTAAAGTTTGTGTTATTGTCTTTCAAATGCAAGATGACTCTGCTTGCTTAGTTATATACTTTGTCTTTTGTTTTACGTTCGTCTTTCAGTAGCTCCTCAGTATCTCAAAGGATCCTCTTCACGTCAGGAAGTCCAATGACAGAGATGGCACAGAGAGTTGTTAAAGAAAGCTATAATACAGCCGGCTGTGTCGTGGTGGGAGTCATTTGTATGCTGACGGGAATGATCTTTCTTGTTGTTCTTGGTGTTCGTGAAGTCCGTCCCTTCCTTAATGATTTTCGTCTTGAGACGGTTCAATGTAAAGTTTTTTCCAGTGGGTACACGGATATGAAAAAGCCTTGTACGTACCACAATTTTTTTCACTCGTCGTATCCTTGCTTTCAAATTCGAGTTTCTTACTTCGCCGGAAGAAAACGGCAGACAGGTTATTTGTATCAAAGTGTACATGGAGATAAAAACAAGGTGAATGCTTTATTGTGTATTTGTCAGCCAGAAATCGTACTTGCATTCAAGAATCAAGATTCGTATTTTTCTAAACTAAGAATCCCATTTTAATATATTTCGTTAAGTCGCATATTCAAGCATAACTTTGAAACTTTCAGCCTTGTTTATGTACAGTAACTTTCTCCGTACTCCTCCATACATCTCCCATGCTATTACATTGAGGAGCATTGGTTAACAATTAACATTTGATTTTCACTCAGCTACTCATTATTTAATATAATCACCTCTCCGTCCCTCGGTAGGAAAGGGGTACCTCTTTTCAGTCAGGCTTCAGGTATATGAAAAGTTATAACCTGAGATCAGGCTCTATTTTCGTTTCGCTTTGAAAATTACATTAGCTGTAGCCGTTAGAGAGAATATATGAGAACCGCTAAAATTGGGCCTGATCTCAGGTTAGAAAAGTTAGGGATTTCACTGGTTAAAGTGTGCGAAAGGGTAGGGAATTCTGCCATTTTGGGTCTGTCAAATGGCCCAAAGACTGATCAAGACTGACAGATGCATTTTATAGCTGTGAAAACTCTTTAGAGTACGTTTCAGTTTGAGGTTTATTCATATCTTAAAGAGGGGGACACTGGGGGGGGGGGGGGGTTCCCAAATCCCCTAAACTCGCAAAAAAAATGGGAAAAACCGAAAACCCGGAAAAAAAATAAAAAAAAACCGAAACCCCCAGTTATGGTAAGTATCTCTTTTTTAGAGTTTCAACCCAAAAAGTAAAGTGCCCCCACCACCTCATATCTAACTCCCCCCCACCTTGACCCGAGAAAAATAGC